TCTGCTTCTGAATGCTTGGTGCTAGGAAGCTAGGGTGGGTAACCTGTTTTCTTTGAGCCTCTCTCCCCTTCCTTCAGAAAATACTTCTGCCGGTGTTGTCAGCCTGCTTCCTTAACACACTGGGTCTTAGAGCTCTGCATTTCCGTATTTAGTAGCTCCCTTATTAAGACACAATACGAGCATATTTTAGTCCCTTACACAGAAGTACAAAACAGGGCTATAAAACACGTTTTTCTACCCAAGGCAGACGAACCCTCAGGCTGCCATAGCAAAAGGCCTTAAACCAGAGTCTGTCATGTACCACGACCCGTGTGCAGGTCTGCACTATGAGAAGTCACAGACCATCAAGTACCAGTTTTCTGGCACACCTGGCAGAGGGAGTGGGGCAACAATCAATCCACAAATCCAAAACCCTGAACTCCAGTCCTCTACCACTAGACATCCATCTTCCATACGGCGTCGTGCTCCGTATCTCTGCAAATAAATTCCTTCTGGCTGTGTCCACTGTGAGGCACTGGGACAGGTTGCCCAGAGAAGCTGTGGATGCCCCATCCCTGGATGTCTTCAAGGCCAGGCTGGATGTGGCTTTGAGCAACCTGGTCTAGTGCAAGGTGTCCCAGCCCATGGCAGGGGGGTTGGAACTAGATGATCTTTAAGGTCCCTTCCAACTCTAACCATTCTATGATTCCCTCAAAAACTTGGTCTTTCCATCTTTTTCTTTAAATTTAGGGTTACAGATTTCATGTAATAGTTTGCTTAATGTTTGTGGCTTGAAGTCTTGGGGGGGGGAAAAGAGGAAGATGTATTCCACTTTTTTTAAAGTCTGCTCTTCAGAATTAGTGCCATATTTCAGTACTTCACTCCTCAGGGTTTTACTGCCACCGTATTTAATAGAAGCTGGTTATCATCGGTTAGCAAAGTAACTCATCATCCTTCTGCATGTTCTGACTCAAGAAAAAGAAATTTCGCATCCTAAACACATCCAAATGCATCACATTTCATTTTAGTGACTTATTCACATGACTACAATCTGCTTATTACTTCCCTGAAACACCTGAACAGAGCCCTAGTGATCACACGGGGAACTTTGAGGGGCTGCACATTTCTGGGTGATGGAGAACTGCCACCCTGGACCATTCTGGAAGCCTTCCCACAGAGAAAGTGCAATGGCAACAGGGGCATGAATTTGACTTGGTTCTCTCCTTCAACCAGGTTCTTCTGAGGAACGAAGAGTTTATAAAAAGGCTTTGGCCAAGATATTTGGATCATACATCACAGAAGGACATGCAGAATCTCCAAATGAAAGATCCTCAGAGACAGTCAGAAACCCTGGGATCTCTGGGAAATTCAAGCTGACGGAACCTGCGGTGTTTGGCAAAGACATTACCCTGACCCTAATCCTCAATAACCTAGCTTTTGACCACAAAACCGTGAAGGTGGACATGAGTGCATCAACCGTCCTGTACACCAGGAGAGCAGTGGCAGAGATCCTGAAGGCAACCACTTCCGTGGATCTTGGTTCTAAACAAGGTAACTGGTACTCTCCCCAGGGAGCCAATACAGCCCTTTTCTTAGCCACACGAAGGCAAGTGGAGGGAAGCAACATCAGTCTAGTATCCAAATCAGCCTTGTCCCGTGGCTGCTTGGTCCAGCTCTTAAGAGCATTCCTGAGCACTACAGTTCCCATGTTGGGTTGGGTTTTTCTCCTCTGAGACTGTCACTAGTTCAACCAGGAACTGAAGGTCTCATGAAATGTCACACAGATGCTGGGTCCCTGTTACAGCTCCAGAAGCTGTAGACGTGCGTGTGTCTGCGAGGAACACACCTCACTCCCAAGGCTGACATACGCTGCCTGGCACCCAACCGGCAGCACCTTCACAGGAATCAAGTAGGACACAGGTGAAAAGTGCCAGTGAAAGCCTGTCTGTCTTCTAAAGAGCCAAGGCTATTAAAGCTGTTATAGAGAGAATTTTCATTGCCAGGGGTTGCAAAGAGAAACGTTTTCTCCATACGCAGCAGAAAGTTGTACACTACAACAATCAGCAGCTGACCAGGTCATCTGAAAAGGATCTCGTGAAACCTGACCAAAACTTCCTTCTCGACTGAGGTGAACAAATAGGATGTATGGAGGGAACAGATGAAAATCATTCTACCTCTGATTGTAAGAAATACAAAAAACAGGAGTCCAGTGAAATGCAGATGAGCAGATTCCCTCAGTTTCAGGCCAAAATCCTTCACTCAAACCCTAAGGGCTAAACGAGTCCAAGTAGAACCGGATCACCAGAGCAGAGAAACACACGGCCTGTGCCACGAGGAAGAACCAGCCCCAGGCTCTGGCTGCCCTCTGCCCCCTCAGTAGCCTCCCCAGAAACTCTGTCTCCAGCAGTCCTTGACAGTGTAATGGTTCCTTATTTACAGACCTAAATGATTATTCCCGATTTATGTCTGAATTCCAGAGAAACATATCCGGTTGAAGATCCCTTATTCTTACTACGGAAACCATCTGACAACTGACAAGAGGATCCAAGTTACTGCTTTGTGTGAAGTCATGCACACACATGGGGGGAAGCTGCTGGTGGAGAAGACAATCGTTTTAGAGGACACCAACATCATCATCAAGGTAAACCCTCCTCTCCCTGACATCCTGCACATCCTGAAAGAACTGAGGCCTCTTTCTAGAGCTCAGACCTTAACTTGATGGTTGGACTAGATGACCTTATAGGTCTTTTCCATCCTTAGTGAGTCTGATGCTGTGAGAACGCGGCGATAAAGGCACTGATTTAGGCTGCGATTTCCTATTTTACTCCAAAATTTTGCCTGCTTAAATTGAGAAAGCAAGCATCACAGAAACCCACTGTGAAGCTCTGCCTGAACCTGCCCTCCGTTCGCCGGAACAGCCTTGTTACCCGCCGGCTTTCTCAGTCCCGTGCACTGCTCTGTGTTCACGCACCCTGTCACATCCCAGCTGTTCCCCACTTGGGGCAAGGGCTTGTGCTGCCTTCAAACAGCTCTGCCGGCAGACCTGAGCTCTGAGTACTCATCTGGGCTGGAGACAGCTTGTATTGGTTTAACACCTCAATCCTTAATCAGTGATGTGCCAAGAAGTGACATCCAGCAGCCCGAGGATCAGACAGGGCTCGGGGCATGTGTCCGCAGTCAGGGCTCCACCGAGTGCAGCCGTGCACAAACCGTGGTGCTAATCCCAATCCAGCTAATGCCAATCCAGCCGGAAGCGCTGGGAAAGGCGATTCCACTATCAGCTTGATTCCACCTCTGCGCTGCCCCTCGCAGATGAGAGGTGCCCTGCCCACGGCGTGACTGCCGCCCAGCCGCAGACAAGCGTCAGACCTGACTGAGCAGAAACGCGTCTTTGTCGTTTAGATCCCGCGGCGGGTGGTGGTGAACAAAGCCGTCACTCTGGAGATCTCCTACGCCAACCCCCTCCCGGAACCAGTGAACCGCTGTGTCCTGCTGGTGACCCTGATGAACCAGCAGGTCAAGATACAGTAAGTGAAAGCCGCCGCATTTACCGGGCACTTCTAACACGCCGTGAGCACGTCTGGCTTGGCGCTAACTAAAAACCATGGCTCAACTGACTTAGTCCTATTTTCTGTGTATGAAAAGTGCCACCAAACACACGCCGGGGTAGTGCAACTTCCTAGCCACGCGTTACCTTTTCCACACAGAAACTTCTATAACAACTGGGGGCTGCTGACACCCTTCCCGCCCGGGAAAGCAAACAGCCCTGTCACCCTTTTGTCTGGGGTACTTCTCGCACAGCCTGGCTCCGCGTTTTCCTTCCTACGTACACTTCCCTGCTACCACAAAAAGATGTATTTGCTTGTGCTCAGACAGGGCCCTGCCGTATCTCCCCTCGTTGCAGAAAGGAGAAAATCACCTCCTGAAAACAAGAGCAACATTTGCTATTACTTTTTTTCCTTTCCCTCTGGGCTCCCTCGCTCTAGGGGCTAACTCTGCACTGAGTGTTCGTACTTCCCAAAGCCTGACTTGCTGTGGCTCTGGAAATGGTTGGACATAATAATCCATAAAAATATGGAAAACATTATTCCAGTGAAAGATGAAGCTAATTTAGGCCAAAAGGAGACACAAATCAAAGCGCTTCGGCCATTAGAAAAGTCCCACTATTGCCAAACGGGATACGAACCCAGCTGGCACTGGGCAGAGGGGTTTTCCTGTCTGGAGCTTGTGCTGGCTCTCCAAACCTGCACCCAGCCCTGCCGCAGGGGCACAACACAGCACTCCTGGTTTCCACCGGTCTCTTCGAGAATGCATGAAGACGGTCCTATTGTTCCTCATTTCTTAGTCTATGCAAAGCCTTAAGCCCTACGCAGTTCTCAAAAAACACGGCTGGGTCTCCGGTACCTGTTGGTGCCCCAGCCGTCAGGCAGGTCTGCTTCTTGGGAATTTCAGGGAAGGACAATACAAACCTGAATTAATTATTTTTTTCATTTCAGTCTGGCCCGACTGGCTCCGAGGGAGAGATCAAAGATCTATTTTGAGTTCACGCCTCGCAGGACTGGGCCCTTACAGCTGCAAGTGGACTTCTCCTGTGACAAGTTTTCGCACGTGAAGGGATTCGTAACCATCACGGTAGCACCAGCATAATGCGGGGAAGGACAATACAAACCTGAATTAATTATTTTTTTCATTTCAGTCTGGCCCGACTGGCTCCGAGGGAGAGATCAAAGATCTATTTTGAGTTCACGCCTCGCAGGACTGGGCCCTTACAGCTGCAAGTGGACTTCTCCTGTGACAAGTTTTCGCACGTGAAGGGATTCGTAACCATCACGGTAGCACCAGCATAATGCGATGGCATTAGCAGGAACCCAGCAAGATGTTCTCCCTACAGGGCCAGGGATGACGGCAAGGCACTCCCTACAGAAACCGGTGACCTCTTCCGCTGCAGCAGGACCAAGTCTCCTGCTTTCAGAGTGCTTCGTTTATTAGTCTCTAATCATATATCCTTTTTTTTGTCCTCTTGTCTAGAAAAATGAAACTCTTCCTTGTTGAAACAGTTTCACTGTTCTATCAAATCTCCTTGTGTGGAGCTCCTGGTTTTGAATTTTCCATCGGATAATTACTACTAGTCTCTCTGTGTCCACATTCTGACTGTCAGCAATAAACAAAAACTACTCATAAGGCTGTGCTCTTTCCTAATGAATCGCACATTCCATGGAAATACTGTGAGAAGTCAAAAGACTCAGGAAAGTTGTCTTCATTTAACAAGATTCTTTCCTAAAAACACAGAACATTTCCTCCACTGTTCATTGATTTCTGTATTTTGTGACACCTAAACCTCTGTCAGTGGGAAGGAGAAAAGCCTACAAAGGCTTTAAGAAGCAATGTTTGGGGTCCAGGACAATATTTCTGTAGCCTGTGGGCCTCGGCCTGTCACAGAGGGGACAACATGTACATATTCCAATCGGTAACGTGACGGGCCCAAGCACCACAAAGCGCGGGGAGCGCCCTGCATGAACATGGGAGTCCAGCATCACTGTCTGCTCACCAGCGCAGGGTCCCTGGACACAGGGAACGTTTGTCTCCAACCCATCCCGGTGTAACTCACTCCCCGGCAGCCCCTGCTCCACACCTTCGTCATGGCCTTTCCACCCAGATGACTCTCCCGGGGGCTCCCGGCCCTCACGCTGCCTGGCACCATGTTGCACCCAAAACGCACTTCCAGCAGCTGTAAGGATTCTCTGTTGCTGCGGCAACAGTCCCTGGCTCTCCCAGAACCGCCACGGAAGCGAGTAGCCAACAGGGCCCAGCAAGCACCTGCACGCCTGGCAGGAAGGGCGCGAGGCAACAGGGGTCTACAAATGGCTCGGCCAAGGCAGGACCTTTTCTGACTTAGAAAACGTATAATGCAGAACTAGCAAGGCCAAAATTCTGAGCCAAGAGCTGGCAGGAGTTTGACATGGACATCTCTTGTCTGACAGGTATTTTGGTCTAATGCATCCAGGCACGATCACAAATTCTTACTGGAAAAATACACAAAAATGCAGAACTTCAAACTCCTTAAAAACCCTGAAGCTGCAGGTCACACAGGTGCGTGTTGGGTTGCAGGCAATCTTGAGACGGACGTGGAACCAAACCAGGCAAACCAGACAGAATGCAACAGTGCAGAGGTGAGGAAAACCAGGGGCTGGCCCCGCACCCCGACGCCTCAGCCAGGGCCCACTGGAAGCCAAGAACTGCAGCCAACCTCCGCCGGGTGCTTCTGGAGAGGGTGTGAGACGGGACAAGGGAGGACGGAGTGGGGGGAGTGGAGGGGGTAGCAGAGGGGGGGAGCAGGGAAGAGCACGGCTGAGTTAGCATGGGCAGGGCTCAGCAGAACAGCTCTGCAGCCTCCTCCGGGGCCCAACTCCAGGCGCCAGGCAAACAGCTGCAGAGAAGCCACCTATGTGGATTACAGAACTGTAAACAGAAACGATGAAAGGCAGAGCAGAACTTAACGCCCCTGTACTTAACAGAAACCCTGGAGCGCAGGTGACCGCGTGACAATGCCCTCTCAGGGGGTGTGTTGCTCCGTACGTAAGAAACACGCATTACAGGTAATCACGTAGGAACAGGTAATGAGCGCTGGGTGCTCCACGCCAGGATGAGCTGGGTGCAGTTAGGTCAAAGACCTTCAGGCAGGCCTGCCTTAAACCAAAAAGTGGCTTACGCTACGTGAAGTCAGGGTGCTACTGAGTGACAGTGATGCTAACACCCCACAGACTACTCGATGAGCCCCTGTCCCACACATCCACATCGTACTACGTGTATTTATCCACACCTGCCTCCATACATACAGTCCCCAAAAACCTAATCTGACACAAACCAGCCATCCAAAACTCAGTTTCTCCTGGCTACTTAAGGCTGTATATCCTTCATTAGCGCCAAGCTGGGCTATTTACCTCCCTTAGTGGTTAAGACACCAGGATGCTGTTCATCATCTTTCCTCAAGCCATTCAGCAGTTTAAACAAGCATCATTAGACTCAGGACTGCAATTAAAGCAGTCATAAGGAGACGCTTACGCAGGAGATTACTGCAGAACCAGTAAGGAGCGACCGCAGGTCACACCCAGCTTGTATAAACTCTAGCTTGTGTAGTGAAGGCAAGAGTCCAAAGCCCGTGGCTACTCATGCTGGTGGAAGAGGATTGAGGATGTTCTTGCACACGTTGTATCCATGACCTGAGCTACGCGTAAGTGGGGAAAAGAAGAAGGAAACCTCATGGCGGGTAAGTTAAAAACAGTCCGATTGCACCAGATAGCACTCTTCTAATACTGAAGAGTGGCATTTGCTGAGGAAACAGGATAAATTACAGCTACTTGCTCTCTTGGCAATTCAGCCACTTTTAGGTTAAATGCATTTATGGGTTATTCTACTAGAATGTTCATTTTTTTAATATCATGGGTCTTAAACATATTCTTTTCCTGTAACACAGAAATACAGAGTAAGATAAGATTTTTCTGTCATATCCATTAACTACTCCATAAAGTGCTTTTGCAACCCCCTAGTCAACACTGCTGGCTAGGAACTTGGGCACCAACCTGCCACATGCAAGTCCCAGGCTCTAATCGCACTCTGCTGTCGCGCCGACATCTGGCCTCAGGTCCCCTGACGGCCTCTGTACTGCCCTGTTCACCTTCCACACCGCGGGTCCCGAAACCTGCGTGCCGCTGTGCCAAAGCACCAGCCCAGGACCTGTGAGCTATAGCGCGCCTGCTCTCACTCTCATGGCGACTGGCAAGGTCTCCAGCTAGAAAAGGCATCATACAACACGCACAAGTCTGTCTTCGGTTTAGCCTGAGGACCCTGCGGGATAATGATCAGCACTTTCAGCCCCAATCACCGATTCTGCAGACCCGTGCTTACGAGCGCTCCCAGCGCCTATCCATCAGAGGCTGAACACCCAACAGCTTTTTAGAGGTTGGTCCAACCGTGCGTTGACAGGCTATTGAAAACCCGGCTTTCCAGCAGATACGCTGAAGGCAGAGAAGGAAATGGTAAGATTTAAATTGAAACTGTGAAGATCAAAATCTTTTTGACTTGATTTTGTCTGTTGGATGTTTTGTTGTAGGGTTTTTTTAATTGATCAGGGAACAAGGCAGGTTGAAAGCTTTGTGACCTGTGCTGCAGTGTCCGTTTTGAACGGCAGGCAACCTATCAGGATCCCACAGCAGCCTATGGCACTGCCCCAGGATCCGCCACTCCAAGCCCCCCACCTCTCCCTGCTGGTTTCCTTTTTCCAGCAGCATGAAATGACACCAGCTTCCATCCCAAAGACTGTGAAGTAACTGAGATCCAAGACACATGACATGGTAATGCACACAGTCGACAGCAAAGATACTACCTAGCCCTCTGTCCAGCACCGGCCATGCAGCGCTTCCAGCACCCACCTGCTCCGGAGAGCTTCAGCATTGCTTCCCATGCATCTGGGAAGCAGCCTGGGAACTAGAGAGCCCAAGAGAAAAAGACCAGGAACATGGTGGAACAGAACAGGCTCTTCAACTTCAACTGAGCCTTACCTAAATAAAATAGGATTTTAATATTTTTTTAATCAAAGATGAATTCTCTGAACGGGTGTTTTTCGTGCCTGTGAAAGACGCCTGCAGAAAAGATATTTTACCTGTCCCTCAAAGTTGTTATTTTGCAATTTTTAATAATAACAGTGGATTTTTCTGTTCTCCTAGGGCATGTAACTCCAGCTATATACAAGCATAATAAAATTACTAGGAACAGGCTTGAAGGAACAATGTGTTTAACCAATGTGCCTCGTGTCTTTCTAGCCCTGAAAATCGCGAACGTCAACTGGCAATCCAACCTAAATCAAGCTGCACACCACACCGCTGACTACAGCAGCACAGACACAATCCTGCGGAGAGGACAGGCCTTCAGCATCACTCTGAACCTCCGAACAACGGTGCGATCTGGGTACCACCTCACCTTTGTTGCAAGCACAGGTAGGTTCCCCTTGGCACTCACCTCACCTCCAAGGCACTCCAGCTCCAGAAGATTGGTGCCTCCACTCCCAAGCACTAAGCTTCGCCCTGTAGCACGCAGGATTCACTGTCACTTTAGGCTCAGGAGCTCCCATTTTAAAATCCAATCTGTTCCTTAAGGCAACAGACAGTTAAGGTAATAATGAATAGAAAGGTCGAGACCATCCTCATTCTAAAAATAAGCATCTATCTCTGCTTCTTCGGACCTGCCTCCAATCCTGCGTCATCTGCTTTCTGCGGTCCCTGCCCACCCTGCAGCCCGACCTCTCTCCGACCATAATCCCCACCTGTCTCCTCTCTGACTCTCTACTTCACCTCTTTAAAATCCCCTCGATTAACTCCAGGTGTTCCCTGTTATCACAGCAATCTGCATGACCTCAATCACACGCCTCCAGTCTGTATCTCCCCAAAAGTCTTCTCCACCAAATTCCACAGGCAGCTGCCACCTCCTACCAAAACCTGTGCTGGAACCTGTGGCTCCTTCTGCCCACGTGGTTCTGAATGCTCAGACTGGCAGAACCACGGGCTTGCCTCCTCACTTCTCTAGAGGATCTGGGCATACCCACCCTTAGCGGGTCACACAGGTAAGACACAGGGCTGCAGAGCACGACTCCAGGGGCTGGAGTGCAGTTGGTTTACCCTGAATTAGCATTTCATCAGACAAGCCCCGATCTTCCCACGCAGCCATTGAAACAAATAGGGAATTGAGCTCATCACTGACCCCAGGACTGCGGCCCACGGCTGTCATTCGGAACTGCTGTCCCTGTTCCCTCTGGCAGGACCATCTCCAGATGAATCACAGCAGACCAAGGCCGTATTTAACCTTTCGGAGGAGGGTGCCACTGGCTGGAGTGCAACGCAAGAGCCCAGTGAGCCTGGCTGCATGAACTTCAAAATACTCAGCCCAGCCAACGCCATCATTGGACGATACAAACTCAAACTCCAGACTGTTTCTGGGAACAAGGTCTCTTCCACACTCCTGGGCCAGTTTGTGCTACTCTTCAATCCCTGGTGTCCAAGTATGTTTTGCTGTATCACGTCTTTCAAATGACTCATTGTCTCAGTCAGGAAAGGTGGGTGTCACAGCAAAGCAGGTACCCGGCAGTCACAGCTACAGAAGGGTCTGTCTTTTCCTCAACATCAAGGCTCAGGTTTTTGCCTCTTCTTCAGTGCCACAACGCATTAACGATCCAGACTCTTGCTTGGAGAGTTAAGAAAGCGGAGGCAGGAAATATTTCAAATATCTGTTCTATAAGTTTTTCCCTCTGATACTTGTGTCTGATTATAAACCACCCAGTGTCTACCTGCAAGACACAGGCTGAGACTGGTGAAGGGACAAGAGCATGGTCAGTTCCCCTCAAAGGAACTTCATGCTTATTTTATTCACTCCCTGAATGGCCGCAGCGGCACCGCAGGGAGCCCTAAGCCGGAGAGCACAGGCAGCCTGGCCTGTTCCCTATGAAGCCCCTTGAAGAGAGATTTTCAGTTACAGCAAACCAACTGTCCTTTCAGCCTGCATGTCTCATTCTGCTTCTAGGTGACGATGTCTATATGGCTAATGAAGAGGAGCGACAGGAGTATGTCCTGAATGACAGTGGAATCATATTTCAGGGACTGGAAAAATATATTCAACAAGAAGCTTGGAACTATGGACAGGTAAAGAGCATCCCCTATTCCAGAACTCTGACAATAAGAACAGCGGGTAAATGGGCTCTTGAGGCGGGAGAATCATTATTTCATGGCATGAGTTCAGGATTCCTCCCTTACTTCCCATGTCTTACTTATCAACACATTACAGCAGCATCAGGGCCATTTCCACCGTCTGGCATCTGCTAATAGAGAAATAAAAGAAACAAAGCAGAATTTTAGTTTTCTTTTGCCTATTACAGAAACTAGTGAAACTCTACTTGTTTCTTGACCCATGTAAAGGGCAAAGGAAGCCATTCCAGTATTAACCTCTAAGAATGGTGAGCTAGTACATCTGAATATTTACAGAGTTGGCTCAGTAATGGGGCAGAAGACACTACAGTATATCCCAAGTCTGCTCAAATGAAACAACACAAGTTGGAATTTTTGCAAATCAGCTGGGCCTCCCAAGCAGAACTGCTACAGCCACAGCCCCCTGGGTCACGTAGCTGCAACCTGCTGGGCTGGTCGAAACCTCCCCTGACCACCTCTGCCTTAGCTGCAGCAGCAGCTGCACCGCCAGCATTTCCGGCATGACCCTCCTCCTGGCTGTGGCAACTTCTGCACTAACGAACGAACCGGCCAGACCCGCTGCCTCCGCAGAGGCCAGGCGGCCGGCTCGCCCAGCCTCAGCCATAGCGCACAGTGCTCCGGCACGCCTGCGCCCGCCACAGCGCCTCTGTGACCCCAGCCCACAGGAACTGTTTCAGTGGGTTTCGTTCAGCTCAGAGCACCTGACACAAGGTGCAGACACGGTGTGTACACCCGGCCACGTAATGCCCTGGTGAATGCTGGCAGCCATGGCCCCAAACCGCGTGTTCTGGCTGGAGGGTTGATAAGAGACTGGCTGTCTTCAGAACGTGCTTACACTTTCTTCTTGGCCCTACTTTCCTGAACAGCACAGAAGGTGCCGATATGCCCACATCCTCCTGCTGTGCCAGAGGAAGGGCAATAGGCAGGGAGTTTACCCTCGGGTTTGCTTATGAAGTCGGTCGTTACTGGACTGCTTGTTTTCATTGCAGTTTGAAGAGGATATCCTTGATATCTCTTTGGCTATACTGGATCGAAGCCTGAACCACCGCCAAGATCCAGCTGCTGATGTTGCCAACCGAAGCGACCCCGTCTACGTGAGCAGGGTTGTCAGCGCTATGGTAAAGTGACCCACCAGCTACAGCTCTGCAGTGCACCCACTGACAAACGCCCCGACATGTTACTGGGAATGCCCCCATGTTTTATAGGAGTAGCTAACTTTTCTGCAAAAATGTCTTCTGCAGAAGAGGTAAAATGGAGATTTACTCTCAAAGCAAAATATCCCAAAAGTTTAATTGACCTTCTTCCCAAAAGTTTGCTCATAACAAAGGGATGTTTCCAAGATCTTTGGGGAACACTGGATCTCATATGCACCTCCCTAGCAGACTTCACTGGTCTGGAACTCCTGCGTCCATTCGGACATCATGTGCTGTATTTCTCAAACACCAAGAGAAGCAGGGAATACACTGGAACACCAGTGCTGGCGTGGTGGCGGCTAACTGTGTGTTTAGTGTCCTCCGCTTAGGGGGGACTTGTTCAGTGGGGCCTGTCTGCATTTCCCCCAGCAAACAGGTACGTTTTCTCAACATGCCCCCATCCTCGCAATCATAAACGCTCAACTAGGCAAGACTATTCCATTTTATACCTACACAGGCCTTACCACACTCATTACCTGGGACTACCCCTTTAAGTATGTGATCATTCCCACCCTTTCAGACAGCACTCCCTTCAGGCAATCTCAACTTCAATATGGAGTAAATAACTCTAAAGACGTACAAAATCACTAAAAGTATGAATACCTGAGAAAAAACTATCATTACAAATAACCTTGCTGTTCCGGTACAGCATAAGTGACACCAGGCCTCTAGAAGCACAGAATGGTTTGGGGTGGAAGGGACCTCAGAGATCACCCAGTTCCAACAGAGGCATGCGCACAGAGTAGGTTCTGAGCAAGCTGTGTGTTCTACAGGCACACTGCCAACACCTGCACACTCTGAGAAAACACCACTTCTCTGTCTAGCTTCCACATAAACCACCTGAGAATATGACCCAATGCTGAACACACAGTGTCACGGCACAAGGACATACAAGGTGACGCTCGTCAGTGAAACAGGACCTTGAGCACACTTGGGATCATTCACACTGAAGGGCGAGGCAGTTTGGAATCCTCAGGCTCTCCAACCTGATCTGGTTTGACCCAAGTGTTGCACTTGAGCAGATAAAATCCTGCCCAAGACTCAAATACCGTGTCCCACCCACCACCCAGCCAGCGAGAGCGGCGCCCAGCAGGGTCACGGCTGCCCCCTGCACTCCCTCCTGCTGCCCGCGTGTGAATCTGTGACTCTTTCAGGTTAACAGCAACGACGAAAAAGGAGTAGTGGAAGGGAGGTGGAGTGAGACGTACTGCTCAGGAACCAACCCCCTGCAGTGGAGTGGAAGCGTGACCATCCTGCGGCAGTGGTACCGGGGCAGATACAAACCTGTGCGGTATGGCCAGTGCTGGGTCTTTGCAGGAGTGATGTGCACAGGTACCCGCAAGGGGCTGAGGGATGCTGTCGGAAAACCCGTGCCCTTTCACGTCTGCCCCCTTGCAATGCCAGTTTTCTACTGTTGTGTCTCACCTACTGGTGACACAAAACCAAGTCACAACTCTGAGGACATGTAAAGGAGCCACAGGTCAGGAAAAGCATTTCAACCCAGCAGCTTCCATTCTGAGCTGCTCCAAGAGTCACTTTGGGAAAACACGAAGGAAAAAGAATGCATCTGGGAGATGTTTCAGAGAGGAGCAGGAGAGAGAGAAGCAAACAGGGAGAAAATGGGAGAGAGCAGGATGAGGAACGCAATATTAAACTAAATGGGTGACTCAAGGAGAGGCAGCGAAGGATGTCCTGTCCCTGTCCCTAGGGACCTGTACACACCTGCGACTCGCCCCGTCCCCGAGGGAGTGTTCTGAGGCTTTGTTTCTGCTGAAAACACAGTCCCTAGACTGCTTTGCAAAGAAAAATAGACAAATGCTTTCTAAATGTCTGTGGAACAGGTTTAAGCCTTTTGTGGTATTCTGTATTGCAGTGCTGAGGTCCCTGGGGATCCCTACTCGAGTTGTCACGAACTTCAACTCTGCCCACGACCGGAACGTAAACCTGAGCATTGATAAGTACATCGACACCTCCGGAAAGACCCTGCACTTCACTGAAGACTCCGTGTGGTAGGTTCAGGGGTTTTCTTAACACTCCCTCCCTGACACTCTCCCCCAGTTAAAAGATCTGGAATCGTGCTTTAGGCAAGAACTCCTCAGACTTGTGCTCCCAGTGAAGTAAAAGCCCACACCAGAGAGCAGCAGAGCGTTCAGTGGTGCAGCACGTGGCCAGTCACCACTCTGAAGAATTACCAGAGGAGGGACTTTGCACCACTGCTATTCAACGCACCACTTGAAGATACAACATCAACATCACTGCTCATCTGGTCTCTACTGTATGAAAGTTGAAATTTTTAGAAAAAGGTTGAAGTGGTTAATGTCTTGCCCCAAAATGGCATCGGTTTGTCCCGATTCCCAGAGCCCAACCCTCTCGGAAGCCCCAAGTTTTAGATGCAGCTCGTGTGCAAGAAGCTGTTGATCGTCTCACTCCTTCACCATCACCATTACACATCCCCTGCACGTTACCGAGAGGCAGCTGAGAAAACTCCATCCCATCCCTGAGGAAGAACATGCTGTTTCTTTCACCTCAGAGGCGCCGTTAAAAATGACGCTTTTGACAGACAAGTGCACAGGAACTGACACTGCACACGTGTGTCGTAGCGCATGCATCAGCGTGCCAGTCCCCCAGCACCCCCGCCCCAGGGACCGCGTGGGAAGAGGGACACAACCAGAAAGCACCTGGGAATTAAACACCACAGAGAGCAACTTGCAGAGACCTTCGGCTGTGCAGCGCGCTGTTCTGAAACGCCCAGGACCGAGTGCCTGACTCTGCAGTGGATTCTTGTCAACATTATTCTTTTCGGAACATCGCAACATTTCCCAGGAGTCTGAACACAAAAAGCTGGCAACGGAGGGAAAGGGCTGCTCGGGAAAACAGCAGCCGCTCTCTGCACAGGGGAGTTTTCGTTCACTCAAGCAGGGTGACCTCCTGCACTGCCCCAGAACTACACCAAATCCTTCAGTATAAAGTTAATTGTATGAATCAGAGAGTCCCTATTCCACCTCCCTTCCAGGAACTTCCACGTCTGGAATGAAAGCTGGTTCATCAGAAGAGACCTGGGCTCGTTTTACGATGGATGGCAGGTTCTGGATGCTACACCCCAGGAAAGGAGCAAAGGTAACACTGCTGTAAATATAAAAAGCTGTAGATACTGCTACTCCTGAAGATCGCTACTAACATTTCAGGGCACCTCTATCTACTGCCTGTAGAAGCAGCATTAACTGGGGTGCGCAAGAAAAGCAACACCCGCATCAACCTCCAGC